TTAGAATGGTATAACACAAAATAATGTAATTTAATAGTACAACAAATTAGATACAACATATTTTGATATGGCTGACGGGGGGGGGGGGCGCCCCTACTGCCCCCTGGACCCGCGCCTGGTACGTGTTGCATAAATAATATATTTTAGATAGTAGGTACGGACGCAAATCGTGTAGGTACATGTTATTAGGGTTTTTTATTTCGAGACGTAATTCGTCCGTAACGATTAATGTACTGACAATTATACTGAGTATTTTATTGTATTTTTTAAGTTATATTATATCTCAAATACTAAAAAAATAATTTATTACAAATTGTGATTCAGTAAATGTAATTAACAATTTTATGGTTATTTTATATTTCAAAATATTTTTCCATATTTATTTTCCATGCAACCTTTAGTTAGTTCTTTAAATATTTACAAGTTTATCAGTTGAAGGACAAATAATTCAAGTTGCGTGTTTGGATAGCATGATTGCAGCCTGTTAGAATATAATTTAACACGCATGTGTTCAGAAAAAAATATAATAACAATACCACCAAAATAAATGTTGATACACCATCATCAAAGTACCTTGTCTCACCTATTTAACTATACCTAACTAAATGGGAATATTTTATTACTTGTATTAGTTTAGATATCTTACTATTTAAATCAAGATACATTATAAGTTATGTTTATTGGCATATTTTAAGTTTAAACATTTAAAATAAATATTATATAAAACAGATTTTAGTAAATTATTTTCAGTATTAAATATGGACAGTTTTGATCATTAAGAATTGTTAGTGTTTTGTTAAATTTTTAAATTTTTTATCAATTGTCCCAATAATCTTTATGTCTCAATCTCCAATTATAATAATGTCCATAAATTAACAGATAGAAAAAATATAATTTATTTATATTATTCTTTTACATTGTTTTTTGAACTTTTTAGTTATTTCTGGAAAAATGGTAAAGATTGTAACACATAACTATTATTAGTCAAATCATATGATTTATTTTTTTCAATGAAAATAATGTAATTGATTATGTAACATGTTGAAAATTGAAAGTCAAGCAAAAACTTTATTTTAGTAAATATTATCTGCTATTTTATACTCATTCCAATAAACAATTATTTAATCCATCTGCATATTGTATATTTACACTCGTATAACAAATTGAAAACAAAATAAATTACACGTGGCATTAAAAACTAAAGCTTGCATTTAGAATTTTAAAATTTTAGAGTTTTTTCAAAAACTCTTATTAAATTTAGAGTTGGCTAAACTTCAATAATTAAACACTCTATTAAAAAACTTATACCATATGGTAAAAATCGAAAAATATTCTGACAATTTATTTTCATATAATTCAGATATTCAGTGTTATTTTATTGGAATTGTTTCAATTTTCATTATATTACTTGTACATCAAGACACATATATACTTTTTAATTGATTAGATAATAGTAATATATATAGTAATATAAATCATGTGTTACTCATGTGTAATGTGTACAGTGTTTATATTTAAACTACACTATTATGTTTTTTAACTCTACATAATACATACATTATATAATCTGAAATTATTAACATACATTTATTTATGTGCATGTTAACAAATTTTGTATTATTTTTAATCTGATTTTTTTTATGATTTATTTATCGTAATATTTTGACTTCTTATGCTTAGGATATAATCTTAAATTCTGAGCAATTCTTGCAATTGTATTTTAATTTATATTGGTATACAATATATAATATACTGCACATATAATTATTTTTTAAATAAAATATAGAATAATATTTATATTTTTGTCATGGGGTAAATTATAGGCAACTGATATGTATATCTTTAAGAATACAAGATTATACTTAACAAATTATCATGCTTATTTAATTCATAGTCAAGGCCAGATTATGATCATTAGATTGTGACGTGGTCGGGGGAGACCAGTTAAATATAGGATATTCAGGGAAGGTTTTCTAGTTCTTTTGAATATATTCTACCATAGCTTGGTAGCACAAAAAGAACGAATCTTAATATTACAAATATAGATTTATTCAGATAATTATTAAGGTTTAATAAAGGGGTCGGCAATCCGCGGCCCGCGGGCCGTATGTGACCCGCCAAGCAATTTTTTATGGCCCGCACAAAGGTGTTTAATTTTTGTGTTTTATTTTTGTTCAATAAATTTTTCATACAATTTTCAATACTGTTCAATTCTTTTTTCTTTATAAATAAAATTGTTATTATTATCTAATCGGAGTCGAAGATAATGATGGCTGCACTACTCAGTCATAGGATACATTAAATATACTTTTATATATATATATTTAAAAATTAAAATTTTAAATATATTTAATCTATGTATTTAATACATATGTATCTAATATATTTAACCTATGGTCATAGTTACGTTTGTAGCAATTAGTATTACACCGTGATTACGCCCGTACGTGTGACTGCGTTTGTAATAGTTTCATTTTACAAGTAAATCCAAACATTATGGTGACTAAAAAAAGAAAAATTTGTGATAAACATCGTTTTTTTAATAATTCTTGGGTTGATTTATAATTTTTCGTTGAAAACAAAGGTAAGCCATTATGTTTAACTTGTCGAAAAATTAAATTTTTTCCAGTAACATTCGTATTTTTACACTCATATTTCTATGTAAAATAATCAAATATAATAGCAATACAATTATTAGTATATATCATATGTAAAATTATTAGTATATATCATATGTAAAAAATTTCTTTTAATGTGACCCTTGGTAAACATTTGGAAAAAAAATATGGCCCGCGTGGTTCAAAAGGTTACCGACCCCTGGTTTAATACATAAAATAACTTATGAGTATAGATCTCAACATCAAAACAATACGGAGTTCAGCTTCACCAGATGGACGTCATGGCCGAACTACCGCCTCTACATATTTGGCATTAACCGTGGGATTTACAATATTGATATATGATATATGCCCAAATTGAAGCATAGTGTCTACTCAGTAATATACATATTATATGTACATACTAATGGCCAAGTAACTGTTGTTACAATATAAGAAGGCCTATTATTTTTATGAGGCCTTTTCGTCCAACAAAATTTAATTTTTTTGTTAAGATTTAGTAATTTGTAATAAATATTAATTAAATTAAATTTAGTATAGTTGTATTTATATATTGTATAGTCACAATGAATTGATAAAATAGTATTTTATATTTGTTAGCCAGCGGTTATAAAACACATTGTGGCTTCTTTAAACTTGCGGCCAGGGGCTTTAGCCACTCTTAGCCTCCTCTTGATCAAGTTCTGTTCATAATTTATATAATATAACCACATACTCGTAATAATACTGACTCCTAGTATTTTTAATAATATTAAACGTGTCAGTGATGCTTATTCCCTTCACAAAACGCGAAATTAGTTTTAGTTTTACATATTTTAGTATATTTAAATCACATTCAAACACGTCACGTCTTTGATTCAATTCGTAAACATTACAACTTTAATAAACTGTAATTTTATTTCGTACAAGTATAAATATATACTTCCAAAGGTTTCTATTATAGTATATATAATAATTTATGTCTTATCCGATATTTACGTAACTGTTACCTATTCAAAATCAGAACTTACAAGTAAAGTGATCTATTATTATATTCTAATAAACTCATAATAACTTTAATTGGATGAAAAATAAATAATTGTATAAGCTCATCGTTACAGGCGAACTAATTTTTTGCAAATACTATCAAGAAAACTTAACTATTAGATAATATTATTTGTCATGATTTGTGACGTTGGCGAATGAAATTAAAATGAGTTCAGATACTAAGCCATAGCGGTGTACTAAGGATGGTTTTAAGTGTAAATGATAAACACCAAGGTGGCGGTAGTGGTAGTAGTGGGGTATTCAAGAGGAAAAAACAACCACTGCTACGATTTAGACGTTGTGTATCCTAAGTACGATGCGCGAGTCCCATGCAATATTCATGTAGGTACCTTCCAATGTAAACTATACAGTATGTTCATCATATAATTTACAAAGCTAAGACAATCATTTTATCTGTCTAAAATTTTTATGTAGACCTTTTTTAAACCACGATCCACTTATTTTTGCACAATATTGTTTTCATTAAAATTTAAAGCATTATTATTAACCTATCAACTTTTAAACAGACATTTATAATTTTGACTTAACATTTTTTTTTAAATATATATCAAAAAACGTTGATGTACAAATTTCAAACTAATAATCTATACTTATAATATTATCATTATTTGGAATTCAGACAAAATAAGTAAAGAGAGAAGAGGGACATTTAAAATTAAACGCTTCCCTATTCTTTTTACGTTTACTTAAAACGTATTTATGTGACGCGTGATTAATATACCTACCATTATCAGTTGGATCTTCAATACCGATAAATACAATTGAACGAAAGAATGTTAGAATACCTACAAATAAAAAAATAAAATAAAAGAAAAGACACAATTTGATAGCTGAAAGCCATTGCTTATGTTAAGGGCATATAAGTGCTCGGGGGTAGAGTTTGAAATCATATCGATTTCATTGCAATAAATAGAGTCTGTTGTAAATGTTTACCGGAAATCGCACGAAAACGCGATGGAATTCGATCCGATCATTTGCGCAGGCCAATTCCACGAAGGGCTATAGTAAAACGATCACTCTGTATATGTTATTATGTGCGTGCGTGTGTACGCGCTGGAGGACTCCAGCGCGCAGTCTGGTGGCGCTAAAAGTTTTCTTTTTACCCTCAACCAACCCTTCCCTGACCGTTCCTTCCGGGATACATAGGCCATGGGGGTGCAGTGGTGGCGATCCGGTCAAATAAAACACTATACACATATTATGTCGTCGTCGTTGTAGTAGTAGCAGCAGCGCAGTAGTAGTATTTGTAGTATTAGTAGTAGTAGTAGTAGTAGTATCTAGTAGTAGTAGTAGTAGTAGCAATAGTAGTTGTAGTGGTAGTAGGCAGTAGTCGTCATGGTGCGGTGGTCGTGCGCGTACCCTTGACGCTCGTCGACTTTCGTTCGCCCCGTCGTCGCCCACGGTCGGTTCCTCCACCCCCTTCGCCCACTCGCCGTTCATCGGTCGCAGTAACTTGTTGATGACCGCGGTATAAGCAGTGGTCCCGTCACCGTCGTAAGTCAACGTCGACGCGGTAACCGCGGGTTTTCGTCCGTTTTTTCCACCCCGTCACCGTCGCCGCCATTGAAAATAATATTATTTATATTTTACTATTTTATAATTATTGCAATACAAATATTATTTAGTATCGTTTTTAGTGAAATAAAATAATAATAATAATAATAATAATAGAGAAAATTGTAATATGTTAATCCTTGTGCGTTTCGTTTCTTTTCATTGCGCTGTGCAACCACTATTACTACTAGTGCAGTCTCTCGTATCACGCCGTCCTTTGACTAACGGTTATTGTTCACCGACAATGATTACGGGATGCGGAATAATATGTCATTGGTCATCGTTGATGATGATGACGACGACGGCGACGACGGCGACGGGAGAATAACGTTCGCCAGAGGGATAAAAGGTTTTAGATTTTTTTTTCATACGATATTATAGTTTTCCTTTTTTTTTTCATTATAAATATTATATCTAGGATTCAAATATGATTCAGTTTTTTAAGACCCTTTCTGCGGTAAATTTAAGTATGGGATATAATATTGATACAGATACTTGTGTATTTGTTTGTAAACTTGTTCAATACGCACCTATATTACCTCCAATATGCATAAAAAATTTACGACATAAGACTTTATAAACAAATTGTTCATTTTAAAAGAAATAATATTGCGTTCATGATGTGTCATTTTCAAAATTTTTAAATTAAGTAAAATTCTTCCAATCGTGCAGTATAGCTTAAATTTCTGGGTTTACTTTTTTGATAATCTTGCGCTATGGGTCCTACATGAATTGCAGAAATTATCATCTTGATTGATTTGTTTAAATAAAAAAAGATCTTCAAACTTTTAAAATAATTACATGTATGAATAAATAATATGCCATATTAAATTTATCGAAACTGTTATTAATTGTAATTGTTATAGTATACATAACATTCAATAATCGTTAATATTATTTTAATTTTTAAAATGTCATTTGTGAACATATAAATTACACTTTGTCCCACTACACTCAATTAATATTGGACTTAAAAAATTCATATTATGTGATTTTGCACTTTATACCAATAATCGAATAAGAAAATAAACGGAATAACTAGATTCAATAACAATAAATTTTAGTTAATTTTAGATGTTGCGCTCCTTCAGCACAATATTGTGTCGTAAAACACAGTTTATATTTTGTTTGGCATATAACTGGCTAAGAAAAAAATATTAGTTTGTTTTTATAAAAAAGTAATTATTAATTAGGTATTAACTATCTTAACGCAGACATATAACTATAGATATTTTAAATTATTATGTTTAGTTAGATTTAAAGATATATTTACATGTTTATTTGTTTTTAGATTTGTTCATGCTTATATTGTATGTTACAGTACAAAATAGTTGAAAGTATTTTGATTATACAATAAAAATAACTGTTAATAAATAATTTTTTTAAAGGTATATTTATAATACCTTTTTTTATTTTATTCATTTAATTTTTCTAACATAACTAAATGTTATATTTATACGATAAAAATTAATAGCTAAGTATGTTGATGTATTAGACAAAAAGCGGTTCTTCGATTGTAAATAAGTTTAAATATATTTTTGATCCTCCTCTTTCACATTAAACATATCCTGGTTACGTAAATAGTACTACGAAAACCACGAATTTTAAAATCGATAAGAATTTTTTGCAGATGTTGAATAATTTTCAAGATAATAATTATATTGACCAATTTTAGGTTCTATTAAATAATGAAAAATTTCGATATTTTGTATTCTTAGTTTACATTTAACTAGTCACCGCCGCCACGTAAAATTATTAGTTCAGAGATCAAAACTTCATATGTTTAAAATCGATAAAATGTGTGTGTACATATGCATTACTTAAACATACATAAATTTATGTGCGTGCATAATAAAACTTGTTTTTATTAAAGTTCAGTTAAACATTTTAAATTAAATTTATTATATACGAGTATAATGTTTAGATGAATTATTACAAAACTACAAAAAATTATGACATTTGTGACTGTATGTAAATTTGATTAGTATTTTAAATAAGTAAATTTAATTTTATTATTTTAATAAAAAATATGTATTTTAAAGGACTTTAAATATTTACTCATTATTAAAAAACTGTGATTAAGTTGATTAAAAGATAAACTTAGATATATTAGGTATTTTTAATCGGAATATCAACAATTATATCGAATTTATTATTATAAAAATATTCAATAACGGTAAATTTTACAACCCAATTATTCAAAACTACGAGTATATTAGGAAGAAAGTACCTAGGTATTTATTGAGTTAATTATGTGTAATCATACTTATCTAAATATTAAATTATACTATAAAATATGCACAGTTGAATATACGTAATTTAGAACATATTAATTGATACATAACTATTTTGTTAACCAGTTTAAATAAACCAACCTTTATAGAGAATTTTTTTTTATACTTTATTACTCATTTGAATTGTTTATTAATAATGTATAATAATCAAGCCTGGGTATTAATGAGTTAATAAGTTAAAAGTTAAGTTCATTTAACTTATTAACTTAACTTATTTTATTACTCATAAATTAACTTAACTCATTTCCATACAAATTAATTTGAAAGTAACGTATTAATTCTTCATTTATCCCAATTAAGTTAATTTTGATTTTCAAGACCAGAAAAATATTTTTTTTTTTAATACCGCATTCGATATCAAGTTTATGGAATTTAGAAAAATATTAAAATAAAAAATTCAAAGAATTTTTAGTTGAGACCACAATATTTATCCTGGTATTGACTATTAATTGGGGTCTTACTGATCTTGGGAAAATTACTCAACCGTCTTTAGAGAAAAATTAGAGTAAAATTAGACATGCTATCCATGAATTAAATTATCATTGTCATGGACAGTGACCGTAAATCTATATTACAAAAATAGGTATATATTATCATTGACTAAATAATTCTTAATAATAATTGCACTATATTATTATTAGAATTATTCTATAATCTTTGATATTATTAAATATTATTGAATAAGAGAAGAAATTTAATAGCTGATCAACATTTTGAGATAATTATTTTATTAAGATTCAATAGATATTTTGATTAATTGTCCATTATATTGTTTTCTTTATTTATATTTTAATAAAATTAAATAATCTTATATATTTATTTTAATGTTTTGTATCAACTGTATACATTGATTGTCTGTATAACTTTATAGTTATACTTTCAGCTGCAGTAATTATTTTTAGTTTTCATACTGTTATTGAACATTAAAAAGAATACTTTTTTTGAAATTATATTTATCAAATGTGATTTGTATGAAAAATGAAATAAAACAAATGATACTTAAAATACCATAAATTTGAAAAGTCCCTAAAATCAATCTCAATAAAGAAATGTATATTTGTCTACTCTAATTCGAGTCTAATAAGATTTTTCTGCGTTTTCATTATCGTTAATGTTAAATAAGATCTGTTGTAAATTATATATATATATCACTTATATCAGCCCTTAATTTAAATATTTACTTATTAATTGAAGTTAAGTTGAGTTAATGATATTTTTAACTTATTTGATGTAATTCTCATGTGTATTAACTTAATTGTTAACTTAATTAAATATGAACTCAAATAACTTAACTTAACTGAATTGAAAAATATCATTAACTTGCCCAGTCTTGAAAATAATAAATAAAAAAAATTTAACGAGATAAAAGAAGGTATAATGATTAAATTTGATGAAAATTAATTGATAAAATTTTATTACATCAATGGATGAATCTAAATCTCAATAGAAAAGAAGAATTATTAATGAACTGGTTACGTATAAGACACGGAATTACCACACTTCTTGGGGTCCCTATTTATCAAACTTGTGGAATCGTCCTCTCTACCAAGCACATTATTTCAGACCGTTTAGCTTATGCTCAAGATCATAATTTATACAAGATTCATCATAACTTGACGCTGGTCTTGGACCCGATCATCAAAAAAGTCAACACCTAATATTAATTCTTAAAATAATTATTAACCACATTCTACCGGATGATGAATTTTTAATTCGAAACCGATCGAACTTCGCAAATATAGTAATGATCCAGCCTAAGCTTTTATTAATTTTTTTATGTCTATATATATATATATATATATAGTATTTATTTTAATTTTTTATACATTAATTTACCATTTAATATAACTATTTAATAATTTTTAATTTTAATTGTATTTTATATCTTATATATAAAATTCTCCGGTCACAGTATTTGTTATTGAACTCCAACCAAATGGCTTGACTTTAGGGATATGATCGAGAGAATTCCATGGCTAGTTACGATTTATGTAACAAGGAAAGCTATAATATGGTACTTTTTGTACTTGTTAAATTTTAGTTCTTTGTCACTAGAAAGCGTTTTATTTTAGGTCATAAAAGTTTGCTGGTTATGTAAGTTCTGATGTAGTAATTATTGTTATAATAATTTATTGTATTATTTTATAATACGGTTTTAAAATGCTCGAAGGCTTAACTAAAAACACACTATTAAAAAAAAAACTATTATTGAGATATAATCTAAATACTTTACAGCAAAAATATTATATGTAAAACTATTTCATCCTTATGTATTTAAAACTGTAAATTATAAAAAAATAAAAATAGCCTAAGTCAAATTTTTAAGTACAAAAATAAATATAAACAAATTTAAAAATTTGTTTTCAATTTCCCTATGAGCTAAAATAAAAACTCAGAAAATTAGATAATCACTATATTAAACTATTATGTACTTCTAAATACAATTCGAATCTAGAAAATCGTTTTTGGTACTAACTATTCAAAAAATCGAAACATAAATAAAAATATTGTTAAATCAATAAATTCTTAGCTTTTGTTTTGAAATTAAACTAAAATTTATATGTATACACGTCTTCCTGATAATATTTTAATCGAGTAATTTATTAATTTAATATTATGATTTATGAAATTATGACCTCAATAATAGATTAAAATTATAAAAACTTATTAACTATTCATATTTATGTTATTAAATTTGAAATCGATAAAGCAAAACGTACATTTGACTTAAAATATTATATTTAAATGGTTAAAACATAGATTTTATAACCTTGAATAGAAAGTAGCATAACAAAAACACTATGTTAAGTTGTAGAAAAAATTAAACTGGATAAGTATAACGAACAGAAGTGCGTGTTGTTAATGGGCAAGCTTTTAAATTATGTGGTATGAAATGTAATCAACTAAGAAATATATAATGTTTAGCTTACTAAAAATGACTTATATTATAATCAAAAAAAAAAAATTATTCGAGCATACACTTAAAAAAAAAAAAAAAACTTTGGCCAGATACAGAGAATATTAATTTTTTTATTTTTGTTAAATTTTATGATTACATAAGCATCTATGTTACAACTATACTGGTCTAAAAAACTACTATTTATCTACTAATCTTTAATTAAATTTTCAGAATTTTTTTTTTAATTCATCCTAAACATGCATTATATATAAGCTTCCGAACAAAGTTTATCAAAAAACTTGAAAATTATTCATGCATTCTATGAAGAATTAACTACAAAATTAAATAATATAACCAGTCTTAAACTTTTACTTCTTACTTCTTATTGAGCTATGAGGCTCAGAAAATCCTGCTTTTATCTATATGTTGTTCCACTTCTGACGCCGGTTATTTGATCAGTTATTGACTTAGAATACTCGAAAATAAATTTCGAATGTTATTATCAAATAGTGAAAATAAATCTAATGCTATAATCTTCTAGTAAGTTATATATAACAAAAATGTTTGAATGGGGTAATTTATCATTTATGGTAACGTAATGATATATATTTCCTTAAGGGAAAAATAAAGTTTAAATATTTAAGTGAAGTAGCAAAGTATCAAAAAATGTATTATTATTAGGTAGTTTCTAATCTACATTTGTAAAATTTTTTGAAAAAATTAGTTATTTCTCTTTTTTTTTTTTTAATGACTTTGTTGTAGTATTTTGGTTGAATTTAAAGCACATTCCTCCTCTGAAGTCTCATTATTTTGATTGATAGATATAAATACTTCAAATAGATATGTTACGTAGCCACTTTGTTTAACTACTCTAAGTTTTGAATATTATTATAAATTTTATTGGTAAAAATATTACTAAAAACTTTGTCTTATGTATTGATTATCACAAAATTACGAATAGTTCACTGAATTAAATACTTTAATGTCATGATTATGTGTACAACAAGTAAAATGTATCAACAAGTTGATTTGATGGCTTATAGCCAACGGAGTCAGTGAACTATATAAAATGAAAGCAACATAAATTGCCAGCTGATAATTATTTCTACACCTTTGAATGTCATATGCACTAACGTAAATATAGGTTAAAAAATTATTTTACCTTATAAAATATTAAACCTAAAATATTATGACATAAAATATACATTATTTTGAATTTTTGAATGATATAATTAAATTTGACTATATATTATTATATAAAATAGTAAATATTTCTAAAATAAATTACTTAGATTAACTAAATTTAAGTGTATTATTAAAAATCATAAAACTTGGAATAGAATTATAATAATATTGTTTTATGCATAGAATAACCAAAATAATAAAATTATGACAATAAACGATTGAATAATTAATTGCCCTTCATGTGTATAAATATCTCTAAACATTTAACTTAGATAAAGTATATAAAATGCAATATAACCAAAAAATAAAAGCAAAAGTTCCATTAAAATGGTCAAAATTACTTAAATTATTTATTTGTTTTTATATTAATCAATTATATAATTAATTAAGATATATATAAAAAGTGAAATAAGAATTTTAAATAATTAGATTAATGTTTGAATTTATAAACGATTAGAATTGTATGTAACAAATTTATTTTAATAATGTTTGTAGAATGTTAGAAAGTATGTTGTAAGGTAGTAAATGTTATTTTAATTAAATTTAAAATGATAATATTGTGTACATTTTAAAATAATGTTTTCGTTTATAGGAAATTAATTGTAAGCACGTGAGTCCGTGAAATATAATCTTCCGAACATGTTGCCGATCCGTTTACCAAATACGATATTGGCAAGCCGTCGCCAGCAACCACCTACACCTAGTCCAACAGAACCGAAAGTACAAGTACGGCCATTAACCAAAGATTCGCTAGAGACTCGACAACACGTATCAACATCTGTTGGATACGGATACCAAACTCGAAATAAAGTGTGCGTGCTCGATGGGTCTGTGTTGCCTAGCAAATTCGAACCGTTTCCTAATGAATTATATGGTATGCCACTTGAAGAAATTGATAATTTTATATTCGATGAGGTATGTATAATTCATTTTGTTTTATAATTTTTAGTTAGTAAATTTGAATAATGAATGAAGCAAGAGAATATTTTGGTTATTTATATTTATGTTAATTATGAAATTAGAGTTTTAAAAGTACTAAATTTACCGACCAAAAATAAATTCTGATTACGTATTCAGGTAATTTAATTTGAAAATATATTTAGAGATAGAGATTTAAATATATATTCTTATTCATTGAAGCAAAAATTATTAATTTCATTCATTTTCTCAAATCGTATAATATTTAAAAGATATAGATATCTTGTGTTGATTGTTGATCATAAGTGAAAAATATACATTTATATTTGAAATTATTAAAATTCTTTATGCTTTATAGAATATTAATAACTCAATTATAATTTTATTATATTTTTATATTAAAATAATAAATCAATTGTTTGGTTGAATAATTATTACAACAAAACCATATTTTATTACTAATATATTATAGCAATTTTTGTACTTTTGGTTACTCACATAAGTGAATTTCCTCCATTAGTGCTATTACTCGAGCAAGAAAAATGCTATTCGATTACTGTGAAATTAAATTATAGAAAATTCAGTCTTACCGTAAAATAACTATTTTCAAAGAAAAAAAATTCCAAAAAAATAAAACACAAGTTATAAAATAAGTTACATGTTTTGTGTTGTATTTGGTAAATAATACATAATTTGTAGCTTAATTTTATATACATTAAACAGAAAATAAAAAAATATAAATTAAAAATACAAAATAATCTAAGCCAATAGCTTTAAAATTAATTAAATCTGTATGTTATATAAGTAAATACTTATATGTATAAATATTAAATTTAAAATAATTAAAATTTTTAAAAGCTAAATAATTTTTGGTAAATTAATAATATTATAATATAAGAATATATTAATTACCATGTTCTTAATTTTAAAGCTGTTAGAAGATGTAAGCAACTTAGTAAAATCAGTTCTAATTTTTGAACTTTTATAAAAATAATTATTATACACATCTAATTGTAATAGTCTAAAAACATTTTTAATCCGTACAGCTTGATAATTGTGATTAATTACCAACCAAAAATCGTTACTATTAAAACTAAAATAATTTTAAAATTATCATAATTTTATTTGATAATCACATGCGGAACTTAATAATATTGCTAATTAGTATGATTTCTACTCCAGTATTTTAAGTAGTTATAACAATAAGATATTTTAAAAATGTATAATATACATTATTGTATATTATTATTACATTATATTATAATTATTATTATTGTATATTATAATAATGACTGTGATTACTAAATAAATATATAGTTTCAAATTTTTAAAAAATAATAGAAAGTATAGAAATTTTATATTTATTATATTGTACATAGTTTTCAATATTTTTTAAGTTATCTAAATATATAAAAATAATTTAAATAAATTATTAGATTACATATTTAATTACTAAGGAACGGATTTATATGTGATAAAAATACAGATATATGTACAAATATATATATATATATATAAATATAATTTATAAAATATGTGATAAAAACATCCAAATATGTGGGAAAAATAATTTAAAAAAAAAGTTATTATTATTATTATTAAATTATCAAAATGATTTGTTGCATTGAATTATTAAAATATCTTTTAAATTATCAAATGTTAAATGTCGCCTATTAGGTATCAAAATATTTTTAAAACAGCTAAATTATTGTTTCACATCAACCGATATATTAAAAGCATATTTCAAGCGCATACTATCAGAAAGCGATAATTCCAAATTTTTAGAAGAGCGTCTGCCACTCATTATGTCATTGATTATTTTAAAATCAATATAGCCTGAAATTTTTTCTGCAACAGCATGAATTTTCATTTTTACAACATCTATTGGTCCGCTTACGAATTTTAATCGCTGATTCAACAATTTCCATACTATCATTTGGGCACATATTTTTTATTAGTAATTTTTTTAAATTATTTTTAATTAAAACTAAACTATTTTCAATGTTTCATTTTGCATAATATTTTGAGCTTTTCCAATAATGATAGAAGTTTCTGGATCTAATTTTGAAATAATTTCTTGTATTTTCGTACGAAGAAGACGTATGAATGATGAAATAATAAAAATATGTTTAAAAATATTTACAAATTAGTGAAATATGTAAAAAATATGTAAAATAAAAGTATCATCATTTTAATAGAAATGATTTAAATTATAAACATTTCTTATCGAATCTTAAATATCTCGTTTTAATATAAATATGTATTTACATATAAATCCGTTCCCTATTAATTACTATTATGAGTTGGTTATATTAATTGTAAAATTAATAATTATGAATTGGGTATTCAGAGTTGGGTAAAACCCTTGGGTCCCCTTGAAAAACCGTTAATTAATATCTACACGGATATTGATAAAATCAATCATGTCAGTTTTTTCTTCTTTAATTTTTTGTAAGTTTTTATTATAACGTATTATTTTATGCAAGCCTATGCATTTATTTAATTAATTTTTAAATGAGGCTCCAACAATGTTGTTAAAAATTGAACAAAATTGTGTATTGAAAAATTAAAAATTGTTATCTTATATAAATATATTATCTGTTAATTTATACATAAAAAATGTCGATTGCAAATTAAATCGTAAGATTTTTTTATTTACAACATTTTAATTCATTGAAAATAATGAAATAAAACTTTAATTCCATAAACTCAAAATTAGAGTTTAATATTGGTTATATAGTTATATAGTAACATATATTTTCTAAGATCATTTATTAAATCTATTATATACAAGATCTTCTTTTTCATGGCCTCTAAGACCATGCTGATTAAAACTGTTAAATATATTATTAATTTAGAATGCAATACTGATCGATATTTTTTTTATATCAAACAAAGTAATGAGTTATTACAATACTCTTTCAATTTAACTTTCAAATAGTAAATTTTCATTTGAAGTTTCATGTAGCATGTGTTTTTGGATAAGAAATTGAACCCAAATAGTTATTTCACATAGGATAGGAGGATTATTTTTCGATTTTTACAAAAGTTTTTCTAAGTGTTATTATTATACTGATAACTTGAAAATATTATTTAATATCACCTCTTGACGATTTGTCTAATAAATAGGTGTTTATATTTCTTTTAGTAAAATTGTTTTTATTTAAAAAAAAAAATTTTAATTTTAATTTTTAAATCATTTTTGATATCTAATTTTAAACCATTTTACATGTAGTGTAATTTTTACGTTCAAGGTATGGGAATACTGATTTTTTCATGAATATTGAAAATTACTTTTTTGAAGTTTTTAAATACATACATTATGTATTATTAATAATTGGGTATCTAATAGCTATTATTTACTGCACCTATTTTAATTTGGAATTGTTTTTATAATGATTTATCATATATTTCAAATTACGATGATTACTTTTGTCAAAGATAAAATATCTAATACACTTGGGACCTCTATCTTTCCAGTTTTTATTATTTTAATTTAATGTATATATCTCACTTATATTAAAACTTAAGATTTTCTACCATTACCCAATTCTTGAATATTTTTAACAATTATTTTATACATCATTGTATATTATTATTACATAACAAATAATAGTGTATACGTTATATCTTATATTTTCCTTCTTAATTAAAATGTATTCGTGAAGTTACAATAAATATCTAGGCTAAATTTAGATCTAATTGGTTAAGTGTATTTTATCAACAATATTTTTAAAAGTAATAATTATCTTGTATTCAAGTTTATTGTTAAATTTAAATAATTTATAATTATACAAACTTTTCTGAAGTATTTTGCATGTTTCCTTATGGGATTAAATATAAGGAATTTATTTTTAGATTTTTAATCGTATTATTCATTTCTATTATATGTATAGTGTACATTGTCATCATTTTAAAATTAAACAATTCTGTATTATTTAATTACATATTATTTTTGTCAAAATATTATAGATAATAGATAGATATTCAACCCTCCATTTAGAAAAAATGTTACAAAAATATGACCTGACCTGCAAATATAATAGTTATATCAATGTTTCTCATGTGATTCACTAGTAAAATATATAAATATTATATAATGAATATTATGAATATTAAAATCTTTCTATTTATAAACATTTTACATTTTTCTAATCCACCCTTCCCTAAAAACTTGTTTCTGTATTTGCCACTGTATATAAGTATCAATTCGTACTCTAAATTACTTGACAGATGGTATGAAATATAATATTTATATTTTATATGTTTAATATTGTTTTTTATTTACCACTAAAGTAAAAGTAAAATTGAAAATGTATTGGTTTTCGTTATGCTATAAACACTAGTACGATATATTCATTAAATTTTTTTGAAAAATGTAAGTTCATTCGCATAGATATTATAGATTTGGATTCTTCCCATTTGTAATTAGTTATTTAAAGTAGCATAGTATTAAAATATCAATAATAGAAAATTAGCCGCAAGTCAAGTAAAATTTTTAGGTGAGCATAGAATACGTGAATAATTTCATGAATTGTCATGAATTGGGTCACAGCATTTTTTATATATTATAAATATTTAGAATATAATATTTAATCTAAAATGTTGAGAGTTAAACTATGATAATTATCATTACAATTTGAATAAATACATTGTGATTTTAGATTCTCGAAATATTTTTTAGTATGAATTTTTATTATAATACAATATTATTAATTAGAAAAAATATAAATAAAATTATTTTTATTATGAGTAAACAAACTTTGATTGTTTATCAAATAAAAATTAATATTGAAATGCTTTTAAAATATTTATAATATTTATTGTTTAATAAGTGTGGTAAATGCTATAATAAAATTTTAAATTTAAATTGCTGAATTTTGATTTCACTTTTAATCGTTTTTAAAGTTTTTGAATATAAAACAGATATCTTGTTAATATAAACATATAGGTGATTAATGGTTAGTTCTACGTGAATATTTTTGTGTATCATTTTA